AATGTTTATGAAAATTAATAAAATATAATTATAGAAAAAAAAAAATAAAGAGACCCATGGCAGCAGATTAACCCACTGTAATACATCATTTGATTTCTTAACAGCTGTTTCAATGAATTGTGGATCCTGGCCTTTCTTCCTAGCTTTTTTAAGACAGAAAAGTTGGATTTTCATTCATTCACTATTGCACATTTTCCTCCCTTCCTTTCCCCCAGTTCACTATCTCTTTTTATATTAATTTATTGTTGCACAATTTCTTCCACCCCCCTCCCCCAGTCCACTTTGCAATGCAGCTCTTATTCTGGACTATATGTTAGATTATATGTTGTTATATTTAAATAGTTCATTTAAACAGTTCTTTCCTTCATCTGTTCCAATGCAGTGTTCATTATTCACTCTTGTCCTAGTTTTCCCCCCAACCTTCCATGTCAGCCTTGCTTTTTATTAGTGGTGTTGTGCAATATTTGTCCTTCTGTGACTGAGATATTTCACTCAGCAAAGTGTCCTCCAGGGTCACCCCTGTTGTGTAATGTTTTATGAGTTCATTGTTTTTCAGTGCTGCATAATATTCCATTGTGTGAGTATACCATAGTTTTTCTATCCATTTGTTTGTTGATGGGCACTTGGGTTGCTTCCATATCTTTGCTATTGTGAATAATGCAGCTACAAACACAGGAATACATGCATCTGTTTGGGTGGCAGCTCAGGTTTCTTTAGGGTATATTCTCAGTAGGAGAAGTGCTAGGTCAAATGATATTTCCATTTCCAACTTTTTGAGAAAGCACCAGACCGTCTTCCATAGCAGTTGCACCATTTTCCACTCCCACCAGCAGTGAATAAGGGTTCCAATCTCTCCACAACCTCGCTAGCATTTGTTGTTTGCAGCTCTGTTGAACTTTGCTATTGTTGCTGAAGTGAGATGATCCATCATTGTTGTTTTTATTTCCATCTCTCCGTGATAGCTAGGGATTTTAAACATTTCTGCATGTGCTTTCCTCCTAGTATCAGCCTGCAAGCTACGGTGAAACTTGTTCACCAAGGGTGACTGTGCTGGTCTTTGAAATACTAGAGGCACTGCTTGAGGCATTACAGAAACATGTGAGTCATCACAGTGTGACAAGCTGACAGATGGGTGGTGAGGCTCATAAGAACAAAGTGGCAAGGCATTAATGTTTTAGGGACCCCTTTACCTGAAGGGAAGCATTCCTACTAGGATAGACCATCTGATGCCCATCTTTATCTCAGATGCTATCAGGCCTGATCCCATTAAGCCTCACTCTATCTTACCTGACACTGCCAGAAGGTCAAGTGTACTAAGTCATTGGCACCACGTGAATCTTGGGCTGCTCTGTACTTTCCATTAAAATCTAATTTCTAATTCCTTTCTCCTCTCCAGCCTTTCAGTGATGTCCTCTGAAAGACCTTCTTGCTGATCAATAACCTCTCCTGGCTTAAAAAAAACCACCCTTTTCTGCTTTACCTTAGCTGTTCCTGGGCAACAGGGATCCTCTTGTAGCCTGTGTAAGTGGAGATGCTGTTTTGTCTCCCGCTCGCATCTGCCAGGCCCAGGAAGCATTCTGCTCTTCATTCCTCTTGCAAGCCCCTTGCTCCCTGGAGGTGCATTTCAACAGAATGTTCTATATCCCACTACTCCCTGACCACTCTCACTATCGTTGCTACCTACCAGCCTCTGAGCACAGTTGGGTCACATCTTCAAATCCACTCATGACTCAATCTAAGGGAACCTTTAGCTCCCTTTGCCCATCTTTCTCTTGTCCTACTCCTACCACTTTTCTGAGAGATCACAAGATCCACAAAGATGAACGAACCAACCACATGAATGACCTTCTAAGCAACTCCAACTCAGTGACTAGACACACATCACAATCAAAGCTGCCACATATCGTCCCCAGGAACGGCAGGACAATGGGGCGTAAGCATCAAGGGAAGAAGGAATGGTAAGGAAGGGTCTAACTGGAAACCTCACTTTACACCAAAGAGTCAAGAAGCAGTGTGCCCATAAAAAGCCAAATAAAGGACAATACACACAGGCTCATCAGAAAAACCTTTAAAGCCCAGGAAAACTCAGATTTGAAAAGGAGCAAGAGAAGAGGAAAGAGTCACATTATGCCTAACTGTAAGACTGACAGCTGACACATCAATAGCAGGATGGGAAGTCACAGACGACACTTTTCCAGACCAACTAAAACACAGAATCTGTTCACAAATGGATCCATGCTATTTGCCACCTAGACAAATGAGCTACAATTCCACACAGAAATCCTGTCAGCTAAAGGGAATGACTATTAGAATGAGAAATATCTAAATAACTACTGATCCTTTAAAATAAGATCAGTGTCTTATGGGGTTAAAAAATATGAAGAATGGATGATGATAATAATGACAACATCAAATGATAATAAAGACAGAAGAGGTAAAGGAGAAGTAAATGAAGCAAAAATACCCCAAGGTCCCTGCACTCCCTGAGAAG